GTTAAAATTCATAAACCTGTATGTTATTCGATTATAATTATTGAAAACGAGGATAAAATAATATATGCTAATTTTTATTGTGGTGATAATGCTGTTAATAATTTTTTAATTGATATTCGAAACCAATTGAATAATTTGTTAGATAAAATATATCGTTATGTTGAAATTAATTTCAATACTGTTTCTAATAATTCAAGACATTTATGTCATATTTGCAAAGAAAAATTTGATGATGATGATATCCGTGTAATGAATCAGAGACTGGGCCCATAATAAATGCAATTTAAATTATAGACTAAAAACGTTTATTCTGATTATATTACACAATTTTTCAGGTTATGATTCGCATTTAATTTTTAAAAATATACCTTCTAAATTATTTTCAAAAATTAGAATTATTCCAATAAATTCAGAAAAATTTACAACATTTTCATTAGATNTTTATAAGAATTTCGCGATGTAGGAATCGCGTAGTCCTCAAACTGCTGTCATTGGCTCATGTATTTAAGGATTCCTACAACGCGAAATAAATTTTAAAAATTTTTCACTATGGTTCTACTTAGATATATGATCGGCACGACTCTAATGTTAAAGGAAAAGTTTCATTTACAGGGGCAAGCCACTATTAATTTGAGATGAAGAGCATATATTTTATATGAAATAAATTAAAACTATGATGAAAAATTTTAGTCCGGCATTGTGACAATGTCAGATTAAATAATTGCTCCTTATTTATTATCCGTTAGTATGTAGTAAATAAGGAACCTATGACCACAACTAAGTTGGTTTTACATATCTTGACAAGGCAAAAGTGTACTGCCGTCTTGGGTAAAAATTATGGCCTCAAATTTAGGTCGGAATGTTTCACCCGCCCTCGAATGTGCCGAAGGAAAACACTGTAGCCCTCGCTTTTCCGTAATGGACGAAAACTGGTTCTTACAATACCCTTTATCGTGCAGTCTCTATCGTATGTTAAGAATAACAGCAAATATTTTGCAGTCCTAACAAATTTGGAAAGAACATATGCCAGTAACATGATATCATATCATTTCCAACAACTGATATTCAGTCAGATAAGTAAGCAAGTTTCAGTAAAATTTACTTTTTACATTCAATTATTATTCATTATAAACTGTTTTTCTTTAGGTTACCTATACTGTATAACAAACAATATTTTAGTTTTGCACATATTACAGATTTATATTGTTATTATTTTTTTAAATATTACACAAAAATCATTAAAACTATTAAATAATTAAACATAAATTAATTTGGCAAGAAATAAGTGGTTACGCTGCGAAATTAATTTGTATTTAATTATTTATTACTAACATCTTATGCTGTTTTTACAGATTAAAGTAAGTAATTAACGAATTATGGATGAAGAAAGACAAATAAAATGTAATTTATTTAATATCAACATATATTAAATACTAAGTGATAATGGAACAGAGTAGAGAAAGTATTTGCATAAAATTTTTTTTAAAACATATAATAACGATATTAAATAAATTAGTTAACACAATAGCCATTAAATGTGATCACGATTCATTCAACTACAGGTATTATCTAATTTGTTTGTCGGATTTATTTATATACATATCAACGTCATCGGTGTAAACAACACCATTATTTAACATAAACACCGCTTCCGATATTCCAACCCTCGGTCCTCGTCCTAAAAAGTAAAAGAGTATTAATATAATGCTCTATTATTATTACTAACAATAATTAGTATTTGTTAAATGCTTTTCATATTTTTATATTACCGTGTTTCCCCGAAAATAAGACAGTGTCTTATATTAATTTTTGCTCTGAAAAGTGCGCTAGGTCTTATTTTCAGGGAATGTCTTATTTTTTCCAGGAAGAAGAATTCACATTTATTATTGAACAAAAATATTCCCAGGTCGAACTTAGACGAGAGTGACGTATATCCGGTGTGTCGAACTGTTGCCTTTTTATAGCATCAACATCGGACTCGATGACCAATTAGTGCTTACTGAACCGTAGCACTATGCAAATGTCATGTGGCGTGATTCCCGGCCGACCAATTAGCCATCACCAGCCGTAA